AAAAATGAGCCAGCTCAACTAGAAACTGTGGACAGCTGTTTCGGCCTGTATTGGGCCTCGTCAGCACAGTGTATCTAGTGAGCTGGCAATCCCACGAAAAAATAGTACTAGATAGATGTGGCAGTGCGCCGTGTGGGATGGGCCAATAGTAAGTCATTCACAATGACTTGTCTATTAACTCCAGGGTCAAGGATGTTTGTTCACTGACATGGCCTTATACTTCTAATTGGGAAGTACGTTTTGTAGTAAACAACAGCTGCAAATCTACTGTACTTTTCCAGTGGAAACGGGTTTTGATCACGTACAACTTTGTACATGCGTACTGGAAAAGAGCAGGGTTGTTTGCTGTACAAACAACTACTTCCTTAGCCTTTTTCTGTTCACTTTTTCAGAATGAACTTACTTATAACTTTAGAATATCTTTAGTGCAATCTGCTCTATATTAGTTAAGTTAGCGAACACCATCGACAGATTGTTAGGGTCAGCTCTTAGAACTGAGTGCTCGTACTTTTTCCTAAGTCAACACCTGTCTCAAGCTCTTACGACATACTTGATCTAACTGGTCTAATCTAGTTTGACCTAGTATGAGCCGGTTATGTAAGGTATTGCGTAAGCATAGCCCTTAAATACGAGCTCACTCAGAGTTCAGTTCAGTTGGCAGTTGAGAGCAAGAGTAAGAGCTGATAGCACAGAGCACAGCGAAGTAGCAGCTAGTCAAGAGCCATAACCAGAGTTCAGATGACTTCATTGTAAAGTACTACAAGCAACAGAAAATAAAGCAGAAGGAAGCAGCTGAAGAACAACCCGAATCCTTTTGTCCTTTGGGAAAGTATCACTCCCCCACTTCCCCTTCGTGACAATAGTATAAATTCAATTAAGAAACCTTTTCAATTTGGGACAGTTTTTTGATTGATTACCCCCCAAAGACGCAAGTAAGGCATTATGGGGACGTGAAAGTAGAGAATATATGTAACTGGAATTCTATTGTTTTCGATTCGTAATCTGATTGGTTGACAAACTCGAATGTTCACGATTAGAGTAGAACGACAATAAGTGATTTCTAATTTACAGTGTTTTATTCCCTACTTCTTTCAGTTGACTCTAAAGTGCCAGCATCTGTAAAAGATGGGGATAAAGACTGCTGCCAAACGAAAGAAAATGTTGTGCACATGTTTGGACATTTCATACCTTGATCATGACAAATCTATTACATTGTATATATTATTGAAATAACTGTTATAAATCTCGCATTCTGATTGGTTGGGAGCGCGTGCTTTATGAGAGCACACATCACGCACGCGCCCTTTGCATTTTACAAAAGAAACTAAAAACTTGCTTGCTGTGCTGTGTGGAGTTATAAAGCACTTGGGGATTGGCAGAACACCCGAGAAGTGTCGAGAAACACTCCGCTACGCCTCGTGCTTCTCCTAACATTTCTTTCGTGTCCTACCTATCCCCGCGTGCTTTATAACTACACACAGCACGCTTTTTATTTCTTCATTAATGAAAGCTACACCATTCTTTGTGGTACGTGTAGTATTAAAAGTAGGATCATGGCTAACAATCTCTGTTGCTGTTTTCTGTTGAGCTATGTTTTGTGCTCTATGCCTTACAGACTCGCCGTTCAACAATGTCACAAGCTTAGGCTGCGCATGCGTTCATAATATATGGCAGAGGAGGGCAGGTGAAATTGAGGTGGGATCGGGAAAATTTTGGTAGGAAAAAGGGGGGGATGGACAAATTTTTATCAGAAAAATGGGGGGGTGCACAATTGTTGGAAGAAGCTACAAGCCTTGCTTAGGGGGGATCGTATTTTTTTGCATGACTTTAAGGGGGGGGTGTTAAGAATTATTCTGGACATTTCAAATTTTCACCTGACCCCCCCCCCCCTGCCATACATTATGAACATAGCCTTATCACATTTGCAGGCAAGACATCGTATTAATGGCAAGATCCATTTTATTCATAACATCCTTATTAGAAACAATATCTTTTCCTTCACAAAATGAATGAAAGGTGTGTGTCACCGCATCAAGCTGGCGACCAAATTGCTTTCAAATGCAAATGCTTCAATGCTTCAACGCTTTGAAATATTAAACATCGATCCCAACTTTATTCTTCATAGGCGCTGTTGGTTTGCGATAGAATATACTGCAGATTTAAGCTAATAATGCTTGCTGGAATTGTTTTGGGTCTCTTTGCTGGGCTGTTTTGCACATGCAGGACTGGTAAGTAGCGACTTTATTAAGGTTTCAAAGCAAGATTGATGGAACTTTGATTTGATGAACATCTTGTTAGTTCACGAGGGCGGCTTCTTTGATAAGATGATCATTTGACGCAAATTCGGCTGATGTTAGAAAATCATTCTAACTAAGTAAGTAATCGATAAAGTGGCTTTAGCAAAGTTCTAAAGCTAAAGACGGATCCGGATATGCATCTTAAATTTTTTATCAAATTTTTCTTGTCATTAAGAATAATAGAATTTCATTATAGAACAACAATGAGACGGATGGAGCAATTATGAAACCGGTGCTTTGAAACTAGGCTAGCCTTATGCGATTATTCATCACACATTGATATGATATGAGATTATATTTCGTTTAAAAAAATTATCATTTTCGAGGATTGTTTAGTTGAGTTTAATTGTTTGAGAGTTTTTTTGAATCGCATCTGCTGATATATCTTGTTGTGGCTAAATCCTTTTGTAAGACTTGGAGTTAAAAAAGAAATGATTCTGAAACGAATTGCGCGAAACAATCATAGCACACTAATATCTTAAATATTTCGTATTGTTTTAAGGAGAGTCCATCAAATGCTACTCCTATTTCTGCTCCAACCACACTACAACACCCCACCCAACATGTGCACCTCCAAAAGTCATCACATGCCAAATGGAACATAACTCTCTCATCCCTCCAGATCGGTGTATGATACAGAGGTACGTTCTGGTCTGTGTCACGCTGTTATTATTATATAACATTTGAATTGCGTTACCTCAAAGTCACGCTCTTTGCGACTCTTATCCGCTCTTGCAAACGAAATAAACAAATCGTTGAAAATACTTTATGTAGGTAGGTTACGTCTTATGACACGTGACACTATTACGTGAATGCCCTTGGCGCTCCATGTTATCTTGTGGTATTGCAATGAATATTTCAAATTATTTTGTCTTGATTCAGTGGCCAAAGGATTTCTGCTGGATAAATCTCACGTAAGAAGGAGCCATCAATTTTAGGGCCATGAGAAGGGAAAAATGCATAGAAGAATGAGATTAATCTGTTTTGCGGTTGAACATAAGTTCACCCACACCGACCATATTGGTTAACCTTACAACAAATCTACGAGAAAAGATACGCTCAGCTGTCAATCAAAACAAATATCTAAACTTGCACTAAGGGTGGGGAGGTTCATAGGATGTTTTACTAAACTCAATTTAATCATTTTTGCTTTGGTATTTGAATTCACAGAGTGATAGGAGAGCCAGGATCGAGTTTAGGAATTCAATCATCGGTACATCACGAGATCCGCGGATGCGCAAATCATTTGGAATGCAGAATGTCTCGCTTGTGTGAGGAGGCTAAGAACCATGGGAACATAAAACAATGTCAAACAACATGCTGTGAAGGAGATTTGTGTAACAGAGAAGGGCCCGTTGCGAGACAAGTCGTGGAACCCGAGGGACCAAAGGGTAAGATATTGAATCCTTTATTTTTTTGTCAAAACTAACTCATAGATCAGACTCTGAAAGAATCGAACCTCTGGGCTGATTAAATTTAGGACATGGCTTACTCACAGATCAAACTAGTATAGAACCTCTGGGCTGATCAAAGTCAGGGCACGGCTAACTCACAGATCAAACACTGAACCTAGGCTGATCAAAAATCGAATTGGAATTTATTGTTTTAGGTTTTACAGAGGAAAAAAACCCGCATCTTATTATTTTATTTGTGCACTTGATCGCCTCATGCTATTTCCCTTTCGCTTTTCTTAGCATGGCTTTGTGTGTATTTTAATCTCCTACCTCGAGTTTGCGCAGTAAGAAATGATGGTTCTGGGTACGAAACTGTGATTTTTTTCCACCTAGGTTCTGATCTGTATTGTTACGCCTGCTCCAACGTCACCGAACCAGGCCAGGTTCCTGGCATCAATTGTTCTCATCCAATTAGACAACGATGTGGAATTGACCCGCTGACCGGCCACCCCCAAGATCGCTGTCTCACCATAGTCATGTCAAGAAAACTACAGAGGCCAATGGGGAAAGTGCTCTATCAAGAAATAAGAAACTGTAGTTCTACCCACTATTGTAGCCATAGTTTCTGTTCTGAAGCTAATCGAACAGGAACTCTCACCACATGCAAGGCAGACTGTTGCACCAGTAACATGTGTAATAAGGAAGGAATATTAATACCAAATATGGCGTCAACTGTCAGGCCGATAACCGCTGTAACAGAGGACCAAGGAGACAAGTTAGCAAGAGAAGGAATTCCACCATCTTTTCCTCCGACGAAAGAAGCCAAGCCTACTGGAGCCTCTCCTGAACAGTCCTGCTTCAAGCTGAAAACTCTTCTGGGAATCTTTGCTGCTATGTGTATGTTGCTGGGGTGATCACTCGAAGCGTAGTAATCACGAATTTGAAAACTTTTGATAAGATTGGGATACCTGTGGTTTTGGGTTCTTGGACGAACTAGTACTGTTGTTGGACAATCCTTAGATTGGCTGGATCTGACTATAGTTGGGTTAATTGTTTATTAGTTTAGAATATTCACTCGTGTATCTACTTAAAGTTTCAAAACACAATCGTAACAGAATAAGTAGTAATGTAACCCAGAACTTATTAGGCGGCTAGTGGATATGCCCTCTCACGTAGTGAGTGCATTCATCCGCCATTACCTACGCCATGTTCAGTACTGATACTAAGAACTGCATCAGCCTTTTTATCTGTTATTTAATATTAAATTGTCGGAGGAATGTAGTCATGTATATCGACTCAATCGATAGTATTTACAGCTTGTAATGCTTCACTTCAATAAAACATGCGTGCGCATCGATACGTTACTGGTAAAAATGAAGTCCAAGTTTCTTAGATAATTAAAAAAATATATTTCATTTAGAAAAATGTTCACGCTCGAGTTTTTTAGTGTAAATGAGAAACGAGTTGCTGCATGTTATTAGATGACGGGTTGCATCGAGTTGCATGATATGACACTGGTGACATGTTAAACGATAAGCATTTCGCACGTAGTAGTCTTCTATTTTGGAATGAGTTCTAGAAAAGCTTAGTTTCATTTTCCACCATTTCTCGATTGCTAATTGAATACTATACAAATAGTTTAAAGTGTCTTTCCTTGGCACAGAACACGAACGGCTTTCTTCTTGGCACACAAAAATTTCAACTGTCGGGCACGGAAAACGATTTTTAATTATTTCAAAATGTTATCGGCTTTTTAGAGAAAATTGAAACGTTTCTCTTCAGTTTGATAGATCTCAATTTAACTCGTTTGTCTCAGCGTACTTCGACAGAGGACACAAACGACTCTCTTCGTGGAACTTTTTATGATTTTTTATATATTTTTTCATGATTACCGTGGCTATGAAAACATTTTTATGTGATTTTTATGCGCCATAACATGCAGATATATCAGCTTCCTCATATCAAACTTTTCCCAAATAAAATTGACTTTGGCGTGGCCATCAACTATATGTATACCTTACCAATAAGCTTACCGTATTTGGAAGTGAACACAGATATCTTTTGGTGATTTTCCCGCAATTTAAAGCTTTAAAATTTGGAAAATGTAAGTCAAAACTTCCAGATATTACAGCGTAGAAACATATTGTCTGCCATCTTGGATTTGCCTTAAGCTTAGGGACCTGGCCTTTAACAAAAGACCAGCGGGCTCGGCTGTACGAAGCCTGGATAGCGCTATCCAATGGATAAATTCTTATCAAGTGGATAAGTCGATGCTGATATCCAATAAATTTATCCACTGGATAAGATTTATCCGTCGGATAGCGCTATCCAGGTTTCGTACAGCCGAGCCCAAAACGTTTAAAACCACAGGAATCCCGTGCGAATCCAAGCTATTAGCTTGTTGTGGCCGATTTTACAGCCAGATTCAGTGATGAGTAGTTGGCCAAAGTGCCTATGTTTTTAAAAACAAATGATTTTCTGATACTCGCATGCAAGATTTTGTGATTTGATTTTTTTCTTTCATAGTTGTGGTTTCTGTGGTTGATGTTTGATAATGAAATGCGGATCCGCAGCAAACAGCAATCTGTCAACATAATATTTGTTTTATTCACACAGTAAAATTTAATTATACTGCTACAATAGCATGGCACTTGCGGTCGACCTCGGCCTTAGCTTAGTGATGTTATGTACTTGAATTATGATTACGTCAGAAAGCGATTGATGATACAGAATTGCGCGCGCTGACTGCCTGGATAGTCAAACCGGAGAGTCGGAGCGGACTATCACTTTGAAGCGAACCAGCCAAGCAGCTTGTAACATCAATTTTGCAGCCACCATGGAACAACTTCTCTATCTCGCAAAGATTCAGCTGTTTCTGGTAGTTATTTGTATGGCGACACATACGGGTAAGGGTAACACTTTTTCGTACCAAGTACTTCAGCTATCGATCCTGAAAAAATTATAACTAAGAAAAAAAATTAAGATGTCAAACTGGGTTCCCTAATTGTTTCTAGCAGCAGTCATCTTAGTATGTCCTTGTTAATCGTTTCCCTTTAGTGCTTTAAGGAGAATAAGCCTGTATATTTTAAATGTCTTTAATATTTCGATACGTTTTTTTTTTAAAGCTTTGATAAGGTTTTGCCATAACTCGTGGGGTCCCTAACGTTTTTGCAATCAATGATTTTTCCATGTCCGACATTCATTCTCGTCTTTGACTTGAGTTAAGTAAAATTTGAATAAAGTTCGGAGTGCTGTTAATCCTTCTATGCATCGGCGATTAATCAACTTGACCACGCAATCAACCTGAAAGGAATTCATATTTTTTATTAAACATGTCAATTTTGTCAACAAAATATCTAACATACCCCTCGAGTCTCGAAGATCACATAATTATCCGTCAGTTGGATACATACTACATACATGTAATAAAATGGTACAGTTACTTTGAGCAAGCAGGACTCGGCGACCCGGTTGCATAATTGTTCCTGAGTCTTTTAGCTTAGCCTGGAGAAGTTACAAAAACGTTTGTTTGTCTGAGACTCAAAGTCTAATTACATTGCGAGATTGTTTGATAAATATCACAACTTTGTACCTTCAATCAATCGATTGTTACATCATGAGTTAGTGTGCGCATGCGTGCGCAGACTCCCGTTTTTACTGCTCATGTAATTGGAAGAGAGTTCATGCATGGGAAACCATTTTAGTGTTATAGTATGTACTCACAAAGTGTAATCTTAGCCAATTTTTCTGAGATAGCGGAAATGGGTCATCCTGGTCTAACTACCAACTTTTGTTCTTTTCCTTGTGTGTGTATTTTTTTTTCTTTTTTTTGGTGTTGGTTGTACCCAAGATAGCCCAGAATGCATTACGTTTATCGAACTAAACGACCCGGTATTGTGCATGCATTTCGTTATCGAAATGGTATTTTCTGTGAAGTCTATGATCTCGATATCTGTATATTATTTAGTCTCCGTTAAGGCTATAGAATACCATATATTTTCTTTCCCGATCCGTTCTGGGCTGAAAATTTTGTATGATGTGCCCTAGAGATAAAATAGCTATCCAGTCTTGCTTTCGTGACAGCTTGAGAAACACCCCACTTGACGTCTTTCAGTCATACAAACTTGCGCAAAACGCAAAAGAAACTTATGTGTGTAAGTGGTGTGTACACAAAGAAAGCACAAGTGAAGCGTGGGATATTGTGGTCTGCCACTCAAAAGCATTGTATAACTAGTATAAACCTTATCAACGAGATCAGAATGCAATATTCCATATGGGTGGCCTATCTACAGCCAATTCAGGACAGTTTGGCTTTCCACAAAACCACTAATCCATTTTCTTTTACTGGTGTTTAACTTAACAATTATTGAGACACTCACCATCGTCTTTTGTCTTTTATTTTTGTTCATTTGCTTCTATAGGCAACAGCTTTTAGTTCTTATAGATCCTTACTAAGTTACACCATCCCTCTCTCTCAACAAAAAAAGGTTGGAACAAAAAAAGATTGTAAATGATTCGAGACTTTTTTCGATTTTTTAAAAGAAAGGCGAAGTCACCACCAAATCGTTATTGAAGTTTTATCTCTTTGGAAATGATTGCAGCCAAAAAAGAGCGAACCTTGCCACCATGATGTTTTAATGATAGGCGAACCGAGAAACGTTGGACATTTCGTGCTATATATCAGGAATTTAATATGCAGTCGTAATCCAAAAGCAAACTTTCCCATTCATTTTGTAACGTCTATAATCTGATGGATTACGCGCGTCAATTTTTCACAAATTCCAAAAACAAAAAGGTGACAGAATGAGCTGTTACACTAACATGCGCAACATTTAGGTACTGGTGCGTACAGTGGTTTTGTACGTAGGTCGAACACCGGCCGTATAAACTTGTTGTACTTCACAGATCTACGTTTCCGACTTAGTCCCTGGGGTGTCGAATACTTCGTTATGAAGTACTCCAACGAAGGACTAGCGTCCAAAATGTCAGTTCATACATATATTTTTACTATATGGTTTTCAACTCAGTAATATTATATCCATCTTTTATGCTGTATACATGTACACCGAAGCAGCTCTTGATCAACTAAAATAGTCCCAATATTGACTTTTATTCTAAAATTTTTCATTATTATTTCATAAGCGTCACCAATCAAATGCTTCAAGTGCCAATCAGATGGAATCCAAAACATTTCTTGCGCAAGTGACTATCAAGCAGAGGAATGCGGTCTCGATTCGAATGGACGAGCTTACAACGCCTGCTATTCGCGCAACCAAACCAACGACTTTCCCGCCATTGGAGTCCAGTTTACGGAGGATAAAGGATGCGCCTTCCATGGAGAATGCGATTTTTTAAGAACAATATTGTGTCACGATACCTATGGCTTTTTACGGAGCTGTTTTCTTACTTGCTGCGTGGAAGATTATTGTAATCAAGGTAGTTTGAATTTCCCTGCAGAGCCAACGACAATTAGAAGGGATATCACTACAACAACCAAACCAACGACAAGCAGCGAAAAATCTTCACGGAAATCCATAATTATCACAAAACCAACAGTTACGAGTTCAGATTATTTACCAAAGAGTTGTCAATATGTCGTTTTCATAGTGACAATATTCTTGATACTTCTAGTTTTAATTTAAGGGATGAGGTCAAAGCAATTATCTCTGTGGGGGGAGGGGGAGGAGGGGGGTGGAATTTGTGGTTCCAAAAACCGTGCGGGGATCGACTTTAAAAATATAGAGTCGATCCTCGCATGGTATCATTACTTTAATGTCGTCCAGGGCTAATTTAATATTGAGCTCAATGAATGAGGCAATCTTTTAACTAATCGAAAAATTAGATCCCACTTGCTCAACTGTTAATTTATATTTAATATCTTGACTACTTTTTCCCTTGAATTAATGGAGACCCTTAAAGTTACGACTCTTTCTCAAAGAACTCAAGTCAAGACGGCCTTCAATCAAACTGACTTTACTGTGGTTGGTTGTTGCTATCGTCATTTGTTTGATATCCGTCTATTTGTTAACCAGACATTGTTTTAAAGTCACACTATTCATTTACATTCTTTTTTTTTTCTTTTTTAACTTAAAACTTAAAAACTTTTTTTTTACAAAATGAAAGTGGAAGCGAATAAAAATAAGTATTTATCAAAATAAAAGGAAAAATAAACCCTCAAATATTATATATCTTTACAATGTAATAGCAAAGCTTTATATTAGCTTGTGTAAGCTGGTTAGGGTAAAAAGAAATAAAAGATTAATAAAATCAAGTATTTATTCCATCACACCACATGTTTGTATTCGTAGTTGACCGTGAGAGACTAGTAAAGATAATACCGCTGTTTAGTAAAACGCCCGCGATTTTTTTCCCCTGTGCCACGTCGGCCATTACAAAATCATCATATCCATTGACATTATCTACAAACTGGGGTATTTTAAACCAAAATGCAGTACCTTAGGCGAGATAAAAAAGACGAGGAAGAATGTAAGTTTATTCAGCTTTATATTCTTGTATTTTTGGGGTGATTTGAAGAAGATTTAGTATTTTTAACAGCTGTTTTTATTTACCCATCAGCGATGGTGAATCCATTCCAGAACATCGATAAGGGAATTGTCCTTCAAGAGGTTGGTCAATTTGTCTTTAAACTTATCCCTAACGTAATAGAAATTGTTCTTAGTATGTAACTCTTTAACTATTTTTGATGACATAGGCCAGAGTGTTCAATGAGACTCCGATTAACATCCGAAAATGTATCCATATTTTGACCAAAATCCTCTACCTCATCAACCAGGTTAGTGCAGTACACCTACCGGTATAGTTTGATTATTTAATTGAATATTAAGTTTTGATAGATTTAATAGAATTTTATTTTTAGGCTAGAGTTCCTTTTTTACTATTTAGGAATATGAAAATCTTTATTGGTTTCCTACAGTGGTCTCCAAATATTCGAACATTTCTTACACGTCCCATCCCCCATCCAATGCCCCTTTCAATCATCCGTATAATTTTTTCTTAAGGCTCAAACTTTTTTAGAATTAAATAAAAAAAGACATGGCGGCCATGTTGGAGATATAACAAAAGAATTCATTGACAATTCTTATGTTAAGTTCCTCCAACATGGCCACTGTGAAAACCATCAATATGAAATGAACATGCATGCTTATTTTTTTAGGGGACACATCTGGGCACTGTTGAGGCCACTGAGGCATTTTTTGCCATGACAAAGCTTTTTCAATCCAAAGATGTAAGTAAATTTATGACAGACAATATTAAGGGAAAGCTGAGGGAAACAGAGTGTTTTGTGGCCCAGAGATGCTGATGTTCCTCTGAGCATGAGCTGATGGTATGACTTTTGGTGTTATGATTACTGTATTCCCTGAGGAGTAAAGGAAAATAGTGGGAAACAGCGAAATTTGATGGTCGTAAAAGTTTGTAAACTGCACTGAGGTTTCAGACCTTATTACTTCCTTCGAGAAAAAGGACAAAGTTGGTATATAATATCAAATTTAGCCACAACCTTTAATTGCTTGTTTAGTCCATGAGCCTTTGTCAGACGCTACGTGTATTTTGCTTGTTTACTTGTACTTATTTCCTTTTCTTGTGTTTGTTAGTTGATGCTGAGAAGAATGGTATATTTATCTATCAAAGAACTGTCAACTATTGCTGAGGATGTTATCATTGTTACTAGCAGGTTAGAAGTTGGAATCACTGTTGTCTTATTAATTTTTAGTACTTAGATCCTCTTTGACTATTATCCTCAGAATGTTGACCACTATACCTTATACCTCTTGGTCATGTAAATCCCACTATAGGTTAGATATGGCTTACAACTTCCAGTATTTTCCAATTCATATTTTGTATCCCCCCAACCGCCGACAAGATAGTGTGTGGTTCCTATCATTTATGAAGATGTTTGACTTGAGTTTTCTTTTCCTACAGCTTGACCAAGGATATGACTGGAAAGGTAATCTTAATACCATCCATAAGGTTATCCAGTACTATACTGTCAGATTCTGAAAGCATTACATGTACATGTCATGTCAGTAAAACCCACTTCCTAAAAGAAAATGCTCACCCACCAACATCACTTCTGAGCAACATTACAGTCCATGTACATGTACATTTCCCCCTTTTACTGTTGCAGCAAATTTGTTACAATATCTCTCGGTCTTTTGTATTTAGGAGGACATGTTCCGAGGCAGTGCCATCAGAGCTCTGTGCAAGATTACTGATGTAAGTAAAATGGTGTTGTTTTTATATATGATTTTGCTTCATACTTTGGTTGTAGTTGCAGTCAAAAAGAATGTTCTTGTTCTTTGTGTTAGAACACCATGTTGCAAGGAATTGAGAGATACCTGAAACAAGCAATTGTGGACAAGAACCCAAGTGTTTCTAGTGCTGCACTAGTATCAGCTTTGGTGAGTATTCCTTGGATGTATGTGATGTCATAGCCACCATTTTGGTTGACATTGACTAAACATTATTTTGGTCCTGGTGTTTTGGCATTTCAACCAAAGTTGTCCTATTCTCATGGGAAAGGATGAACGTCACCAATAGCTGACTCAAACTTATTACGGTATAATAGCTTCTACCCTCTCAATCATGGTGCTTCATATGAAAAGCACAGATAAATTGTACTAATATTATTTGATTCTTTAGTTCATTACTCTGTATATATTTTCAACTTATTCAATGTGTTTACAGCATCTGCTGAAGCCCAACTATGATGTCGTCAAGAGATGGGTCAATGAAGCCCAGGAAGCAGTGTCAAGTGACAACAATATGGTTCAGGTATGTGGTACACTTGGTTAGTAAAAAAATGGAATGCAAGGATAATTCTAATTATTTTTAATTTCGTAATTTTTGCAGTACCATGCCCTAGGCCTTCTGTATCACATCAAGCAAAGTGACAGACTTGCTGTTTCTAAGCTCATAGCCAAGCACTCTAAGCATTCTCTTAGGTCTCCATATGCAGTCTGCATGCTGGTGAGTATAGGTTAAAACACAGTGTAACTGTCTCGTCTACAACTAAAATCACCAAACTGTGGAAAGGGCCCAAATTTGTTTGTTACAACCACTCCCACATTCTTTAGTTGACACACCAACATTCTTTCTACGCGTTGCTTGAATGAGAACCTCCGAGTTGGAACGCCGCTTCCATTTCTTCTATTTACACCTTCTTTAATTAACAGTTCATATATAAAAGCGATACAATGGATGATGGCAATAATAAATACGAGTTTCATGTCACATTCCCATGTGTGAAAGGATATATTGACCGCTACAAGGCAAATCTTCGAATCATTCTGACCGTATTATATTTAATTCGATTCAAGCGGGCGATTTCATTGAAATTCCTGTCAAAGGAGCCAGTCACTAAGTCTCCACCACGTTCTATGATGCCTTGAACGATTTTGTGTCTCAAATCAGGGCCAATGGCTTTTCCTTGTTCATAAATGCGACCAGTATTCAAAATCTCAGACTTATCGTTGTCGGCTGGAACGTTGATGGAATTTGTGGAATTTATCAAAGAAAGTGGGCGTTGTTGTAACAAAGAAATTCAAGCCCATTCCACAGTTCGGTGATTTTCGTTGTATAGCCACTTTTCCATGGAGGATGGTTGAAACAAAAAATGGCTTGGAGGGGGGTGGGGTAAAGGTGAAATTGGAAGGAAGAAAGAGTCTTGTACTTCTGCACATCTTAAAAACAAGTGAAGTCAACCATTCCTATTCCATTCCATGGGCCCTTTGAAGCATTGTCTTTTCCAACAATTTCATGGAAACAGTTAGATAGAGATCCACCAAAACCTACAGTAATTAGTCATGATGGCAAATGGTATGATTCGTGTATGATTTGTGAAAGGAACATGTGAGTTTAGCATTGTGTGCACATTGAATGTACATGTAGTGTTAGTGTGTATGAGTGAAGTGTCCCCAATTGACCCCCCATTTAGTGGGAAGGCACTAGAACGAATAGACACTTCAATAAAGAGATTTATTCTTTTTTAATGACTGTATTAGTTAAGTTTTGGTAAGTAGCAGTCTTCTTATTTCAGCACTAATACTGAAATATGTAATCATTTGGATGATTTATATTTAGATTCGTATTGCATCCAAATACCTAGATGAAGAGCCAGATGCGTGAGTATTATGTCATAAATTTATTGTACTCTTAGGTTTTAGTATCTGCATATGAAGTATCTGCATTAGGTGATTTGAAATATATTATCTAATCCAGAGAGCATCCACAAAGTTGGGACATGATATTATTTTATGTATATAGTTATATTTTTATGATTTTTATTGGTATTTTGTTTAGATTAGTTCCTAATATTATTATATATGTATGTATATATATGAGTGTGTGTATATGTGTATATATATATATTTTTTATTATATATAATTTCGATTGTGATTACAATATTTATTTATATTATAATTTTAGTGAATTAGATTAGATTTATTTTATATCATATATATTGTAATGCGCTGCTGATAATTTTATTGAAGCAGCACAATATAAGTCAATAAATTATTATTATTATGTATATGTATATGTATATTTGTATATGTAGTATAGTATATGTAGAAGCAGAGAATGTGAAACTAAGGTATTTACATTGTATTTTAATTTCAGCGCAAGCAGCCCATTGTATGATTTCTTGGAGAATTGTCTGAGGCACAAGAGCGAGGTAAAGCCTTTGTTTTTCCTTTTTAAAGATGTGCACTTAAATTTTAATAACTATCGAGTCATTACCTTATTTATTAAGCTGAGCGTTGTGTGCATAGAATATTGAAAGTAGTTGTAGTGTGTGTGAGCGAAGTGTCCCCAATTAGTGCGAAAGCGCTAGAACGACTAGACACTTAAATAAAAATGATTTATTTTTATTTTTATTTTATTAGATGGTCATTTATGAAGCTGCTCGTGCAATTGTGAACCTGAAAAACTTGAAGTCCAAAGATTTGTGCCCTGCCATTTCTGGTAAGCAATAGATAACAACTTATATCACTGATGTCACAGGTTTAATGGAACATGTCTAGATACAACCTATGTGTACAACTCCTGAAATATTGTTGGTGTTTGGATTTTTAGTACATGTAGAGTCTGATATGTATACTAATCATTAATAGTACAATTATTAATAGTAATTGTCTACCCAAACTATCAAACTTCTCTTACCCTTCAGACCCTTGAAATCATATCAAAATACTGAATCAACCTTATTACATATAGCTGATCAAAGTCAGGGCATGGCTAACTCACAGATGGAACCCTGAAACAACCTCTAGGCTGATTAAAGTCAGGGCATGGCTAACTCACAGATGGAACCCTGANATGGCTAACTCACAGATGGAACCCTGAAACAACCTCTAGGCTGATTAAAGTCAGGGCATGGCTAACTCACAGATGGAACCCTGAAACAACCTCTAAACCTATTATGAGTTGATCAAAGTCAGGGCACAGCTAACTCCAAAATCAAATTGGAATTGATCTTGACACAGTAGGTTTTGTGGAAGGAGGAAAACCAGAAAACATGAAGGATTGGTGCAGGCAATTTTAGCAAGTGCTGGACTGTAATTACAATTCTGATTTTTCTGTAGTTCTTCAGCTGTTCTTAAGTTCTCCACGCCCAACTCTGAGGTTTGCGGCAGTGCGTACGTTGAACAAGGTTGCAATGACCCAGCCCATGTCTGTTACTACATGCAACTTGGACTTGGAGAACTTGATCACTGATGTCAATAGAAGCATTGCAACRCTGGCTATAACAACTTTATTGAAGGTATAGTACTGTACATGTCACTAGCTGTGATTCTGATGATGGTGATGGCAAATTGATGGTGATGGTGATGGCAAATTGATGATGGTGATGATGATGATAATTATGGTAGCGTTGGTGATGGTAATAATGTTTGCGATGGAGATGGTGATGATGCTAATGGTGGGGATGATGTTAATGATGATGGTGATGATGATGATGATGATGATGAGATTTAGCAATTGGACATCCACAGAGTAGCACTTCACCCACAAAATCCCAATGGAGTTTGTAAGTTGAATTTTTTAGGAGAGGGAGAGAAACTAGAGAACCCAGAGAAAAACCTTCAAAGCACAGGAGAGAACAAACAAGCAACTCTACTCACATATGGTTCTAATTGGCCATAATTTGAGTGTATAATTTGTTTTCTCGTTTCAGACTGGCAATGAGAGTAGTGTCGAGAGATTAATGAAGCAGATTTCTTCTTTCATGTCGGAAATCTCAGATGAATTCAAAATTGTGGTGGTTGAGGCAATCAGGTATGAACAATGGGGTCACCTTTTTATGCTACTACAGTACCATCTTTCAAGTCAGAATGTGAAACTGGCATATTTTGGAGATACTAAATGTGATGATGGTAATTGTAATTGATGATACTGATGACCATGCTTATCTCTCAATATCTAAACCTGTTGCACATATTTTCAGGTCTCTCTGCCTCAAGTTCCCTAAGAAGCACCTTGTAATGATGAACTTCTTATCGTCAATGCTCAGAGATGAGGTAAGTAATATATTATTTATCATTACCTTTAACCACTACATTTATGTAGAACAAGTTGGCTTAGTGGGTTGAGCATTGGGCTTGGAGATATGGGAGCTCATGGGTTCAATCCTGGCTGGGGTAGCACTCAGGGTCTAAAAAAAAACTAAGTAGAAGGTGCTGCTTTTGTAAACACATTTCCAATTGTTAGACATTCACATACAATGTATCTCTGTATGACCATTCCAAATGGCAGTCTCATTTCTCTATATTACCTTGCCTTGCTTTGGATAGTTGTAAGAGAACCACTGAGGGCTATAGTCAAAAGGCATTATTTCATAATTATTATAGAAGTATATTTTTCTACCAAACTCATTGTACCACTTGATAAAAAAAGAGACTAATATGTTTTCACATGTTTAAATTGTTTAATTTTTAAAACATTTTGACTGTGGCTGTAGCAGTCTTCTTCAGAATGAGATTTGCCACCACTTACTGTAGCAATACTATGTAGCGATACTTCTTTTGGGTTGTTTTAAAATTCCTCTCTTTTCCCTGACAGGGAGGATTTGAGTACAAAAAGGCTATAGTGGACACAATTATCATAATCATTGAAGAAAATTCAGAGGCAAAAGAAGCAGGTTTGTAGAAAAGCAAATAAACTCAAGTCTAACGGAATTCATACGACATCAAGCCCGGCAGGACTTCAAACCGGGTCGCATTGGTGAGAGGAGAGCCCTCTCACCATTATGCCACCTGTGCTTCCCATGATTTCCCATTTAGATGTCATGGAATGAGATTTTTTTCACTAGTGCTCACCACTTTCTTGGTACAGGGCTGTCCCATCTGTGTGAGTTCATTGAGGACTGTGAACACACTGTTCTGGCAACTCGCATCCTTCATCTTCTTGGCCGTGAAGGACCCAGATCTCAACAACCTGGAAGATACATCCGGTTTATCTACAATAGAGTTATCCTAGAGAATGCTGCCGTCAGAGCTGGTTAGTACTGGAATTCTGTGATAGAGCACAGGGCTACAAATTATTAAAAGCTGTTGCTGCTATTTTCACGTAATGTAGTTGAGATTTGCCTGTTGGAATTTGTTTTTTTCACTGTTGCCAATCAAAAATATAGAAGGTACTTCAGGACTGGTTAGTTTTGATTGACGGCAGTGACTAACCAAACTTCAGCGTGCAGCTGGCAGCTACTGAGTTAGCATATTTATGAAAATACCAGTAAGCATCTACACGTATTTGGTAACCCCCATTTCATATCTCAGTTTTCTACCCTTGTAGTTGAAAGCTACATGTATCTTTGTGTCAATTTTGAAGAAATTATATCTAGTAAAATTGCACAATCACATTACCTTATGAGGTGACTGCCTACTTTTGAACGTCTAATTTGAGCCCAGCCCATGAGATGTGCTAGTGCCAAAACTTGCAAGTGGCATCGATTAAATGCTTGTTATCTTGAAAACAAGCTAGCTAGGGACAGTGCATTTTGCTTTTTATATTTGAGACAGTATTAAATTTTTCTTTAGAAAACCTTAGTTTTACAGAAATTTTATTTTTTTCCCAAAAGTACAGTAGTCAGTCAACTTAAGCATTAAGTTTTAAATATTCATGGTTTTCAGCTGCTGTCACTTCCTTGGCCAAGTTTGGTGCCCACTGTGAAAGCTTGTTACCAAGCATTGAAATCCTTCTTTCAAGGTAATGACCATCTGATTGCTTAAAATAAAATAGACTTTAAGCTCATTTTTACAGAGGGAGAAAACCTAGAAAGCCCAGAGAAAAACCCTTAAATCTTAAAAGAGTATTATCAAGCAAATGTGTCAAGAACAAGGATTGAACACACTAGTAGTGACGAAGGAGCAGAGCATTAGCACCACTTAGCTTCCCTGTCGTTAGCCTCATCAATGTAGTCTTATTTTTTGTGTGCTTTGGATTGGTGCACTATTCTGTACTAATAAAGTATTGATGTCTGTTTGAAGGTGCTTGTTGGATACTGATGATGAAGTAAGGGATAGAGCAACATTCTACTTGAGAGTCTTGCAGCAGAAAGACAAAGGACTTTCATCAGCATACATCCTTAATGGTAAGCTCTACTACCTCATAATCAGAAATTGCAAATTTCCTTTAATGACTAGAATTATTTCAATTTATGCTCAAATTATGGACTCATTTTTAAAGTTTGAAAGAGTTTTACCTATTTGATGGTGTCATGGAAGCCATGCTTGTGAATTATAGGGAAGAGGGGGAGCTACATGTATGAGCAATTCAGTGGATTTTGTAGTTTCATTGCTTTTCCCAACCTATTTTTTGGGGTGATTTTCTGTGCGGTCTACCTCTGTCTCATTTAATGTATCCACCTTTTTAATTTTTCTATGTTTCCTAATTACTCATCTTTATTATCAGGACTCCAAGTGTCCATTGTTGGATTAGAGAGAGCCTTACATGCGTATGTCAAAGACACCAACCACAGCATACCCTTTGATCTCAAGACTGTTCCCTTGGCGACCACATCTATGCAAGAGCAGGTCATTAAGGCTGGCAAACCAGGTGAGTGTAGAAACCATTAGATATCTGACCTTCGCCAATACCTACGTATTCTATAGCAAGCATAGCTCAGCTGGTTAGTGTACTGCTTTCAAAACTAGAGGTAACTGTTCGATTTCCAGGATCTCCGCTTCAGTTTCGACTTCTCTCTGTTCTGTGTAGCTTTAGCTTTACTTTTTAATAGAATTGGGCAACCACAACCCATAGTTTCGAAGTACATCCAGGCACATAGCCAGGATTTTGCCTTTGGGAAACCCAAAACCCCTTTTTTAGAACATCGGTAAGTTGAACTTATCACGTGCCTTCATAGATGTTTTGATTCCTACAGAGTTATGATGGGGGGTGGGGTGGGGGTACTCCCTCTTGCCCCCCTGGCTACAATTAATTATTTTTACCTTTCTTAAAACAACAAGCCAATCATCTATTATCTGGTRAACAGCTATTGAAGGTGTTGGAAATTTGCAAAAAACCCAGAAGGCTTATATAACAGCTAGTCGTCTTGGTCGTGTAATTGTGAAAAAAGATGTGACTGAACTTTATTCCTTTCTGTTGTTTAGTTATTGAGACTCCTGCTGCTTCCACCAAGCCAACAGCTCCTGTTGCTGCAGCCAGACAAGACGTTTATGCTAGTAAGTAATCATTATAAAAACCTTTGAGCTGGGGCGTAATGTTTTTCCATCTCAGACCACCTTCCATTATCTTGGGAATAAGAATCTTTGTCTGAGTTGTATCCATATTCATGTGTCTTTTCATGTGAACCGTTAAACAAAGAAATGATACTCCTACGCAGACGTTTTTACTGTCACGCAACGTCCACCAGGGACACGTTGCGTGACAGACCCTAAGAACGTCTTCGTAGGAGGCTAAAGCTCCAGTAAGGTCTTTTGTAGACTCCTCTTGTGAAGATATTCCTTTAGTTTTGCTTATAATGATAACACTAAAATAATTTCTTTCCTTTGCAGCTCAATTGGCCGCCATTCCAGAGTTTGCCAAGCTCGGGCCTCTATTCAGATCTTCTCCCAAACCTGCTGAGCTGACTGAATCAGAGACCGAGTATGTGGTGAACTGCATCAAACATGTCTACACTGATCACGTGGTCTTCCAGGTAAGTAATTAACGATTGGGATCCCTGTGGGTTACGTTGGTCATGAAATATAATGACTCCAGTTTTAGTTCTCTGCTGCTTAGGGTAAGCCTCGATTTTCTGTAGAATATTCATGTGTTCCAGTGTAGGTTCGTGGAATTTCAAAGTGTTTGTATTGTTGAATTTGTGCATTATTTACTTTAGCGTTGGTATTTGTGAATATTCAGACGCTGTAATGGGGCTAACCCTGAGTAAATGAGTCTGTAATCAAAGAACACAGAGAAATTGTACGAATCCTAAAATGGTTACCCTAGCACTCAGCCCTACGGAGGCGAAGCAAACAAACTCCGCTCTCAGGGTAGAAAATGGCTTGTTCCAGTCATTCAATTCTTATTTTAACCGCTTTTTTTTCATTCACAGTTTGATTGTACCAACACGCTGAATGACCAGGTCCTGGAGAACGTGAGAGTGGAGGTGGAGCCTTCTGACGGCGAATTCGAGATAGTGACCCAAATACCGTACCCCCTGCTATCATACAATCAACCAGGGACGACCTATACCTTGATTAAACTACCTGACGATCCCACGTCTGGTGAGTATGAGACACTAGAAAAATTGTGCTTCATTCACGCTTGAAGCACAAGCCTAAGACTGCGCATGCCCCAGAAAAAACTCTGGTGGCGGTACAGTTTCGGCAAGAGCTTTTTCTCGAGTCTCGTTTTCCTTTTCTTTGATCCTTGTTAATCATACTGCGCATGCTCGACAAAGTGCAAGAAATAATGTAAAACTCTGGGGTGGGTACGGTTTCCTGTACATGCTCGACAAGTGCCAGAAAGAATGAGAAACTCTGGGTTCGGGTGTCCCTTTTCAAATCTTTTTGAGCCCTGTTATTCTTACTGCGCATGCTCAACAAAGTGCAAAGCATTGGATGGCAAAACTCTCATTACGTGTGTTTTTTAAATCTTGTTAGTCGCTTGTACGTTCTCATGTACGCTTAAGTTCGTGGTTAAAGATTGCGATCCAAATACTGGTGAAGCTGACGAAGAAGGTTACGAGGACGAATACGTGGTACGTAAACTGTTAGTCAGCCCTATCAATCGGCTGAATATATAAACAAAATTATAATGACACAAGGTTCATACTAACCCTCAATCCCTTCGAAAACTGCTGGAATTTGATGAAAGTGCTCAATTTTGTCTTGTGCCGTGCGCTCTGCCGTGAAAAACATGCAATAGCACCCTTGAATAATTAGTTCTATAAATGAACATGTTTATTTTACATTTTTACATGTAATTAGGATACATTATTAGCATAGGTAGGTAGATATTAGTATAGGTAGATAGCATATATAATTATATATTATTACATATATAAATAGATAAATTTAAGATCCAAACCCCCCTTCCCCCCGACCTTCGTAGAAATATTTTTTTAAACGCTTATAAGCAATCTTGCGGGTACCCTGTTTGCACCGACTTATTCGTTTGTTGTTTCGTTGTTGTTGTTGTAGCTGGAAGACGTCGATCTGGTTGTCGCTGATCAAGTGCAACCTGTCCTCAAGACCAACTTCCTGGCTTCTTGGGAAGAAGTTGGTGATGACTACGAAAGGCAGGATACTTACGCTCTCTCCCAGATGTCTAGCTTAGACGGTATGTCTAATTAGTATACTGCGTGTTCCTTTTCTTCCTTGCTTCCTTCCTTC